AGAATCGCTCTGCCTTTAAGAAATTGCATAATCTTAAGCTAGAAAATGAGAGTTAGTGATCAAACTTAAGGAGTCGACTAGAAGATTGAATGAGTTAAGGGTTGGGAAATAGTCCTTGGAAATTAAGGTTAAGTATTTGACAAGTGATCTTAACAAATCTAGTGTCCAACTTCAATCTGTTTTAGTGGATCTAAGAAGCTTGACAACATGTTAAACAAACTCTCATATTGCTTCCTCTTCTAAAAACAATGTTGTACCTACCTCTATCAAGTTTAGAAATGTAGGAGCCCTAGGACAAAAATCATGTGTGCAATATAGGTTCCCATAACCTAAGGTTCATAATTTGAAACCTAGAGTTGCTCCTAGATTCATTCCCACTTGTCACAATTGTCGTTAGTTAGGTCACATTAGACCTAGATGCCGTAATCCATTGGTTAAGAAAAACAAACAAGATCTCATTACTCAAGTTAGATTATTGACTAACCAAATGAGTCACTTGACTAATATGATAAGCTATTTGACTAAGATTACATCTTTTTTTCAGAAGATTTATGTCAGAAAGAGTGAACTCTCTAATTAAAGTGATGTTGTAAATTCTGGAATTGCTCCTAAAGGTAAGGGCACTTGTATTTCACATTGAGTAGGTTGTTAGATGCACATATATGCAAGTACATGATTTCTACATATTTATGTATGCACTCTCTTTTTTTGTTATCTCATTTTTTATCCTTTTAAAATGAAAAAAATTAAAAATTAAAATTATAAAATATTATAAAAATAAAAATAATTTAAAAAGGGAAAAGGATTTTTGATGATTATAATACTTCAAAGTGATTGGACTTGTTATCTTGTGATCAAGTACTAGTAAAATTAATGAACGATGAATAAAGTTTTCATTAACTTTTTTTTAGAACTTATTTGGATTACTTGGTAAAGGTTTTTTCATATATCATCTGCATTATACACATTAAGCTCTTGCAAATGAGTGTTGACCGAGTGTGTGAGATTTGGTATGGTGGTCATCGGTGTGATGAAGTGACCTTGAATATGAATTGATCTTCAACTAGCCGACCTAAACTCTTTTATATTCCCCAGAAAGAAAAGATTATTGAGCTTCAAAATATTTGACTTTCCTAGAAAAATTGTGAGACATCTTATGTTTTTTTCCGTAATCTTTATAACTTGAGTAATTAAACATGTTGGATATCTTAAAACCTAATGCCCTATAGTCAACTGATTTAAGAGTCATCGTCCTAAATCTCGTTATAAGAATCATTTACAAAACATAATGAAAAGAAGTCCGCACATAAAATCTGAAAAATAATAATAATTGAGTTACATGCTTGTGTGCACTCAAGCTTACAGGTATGGTGAGAAAGAAAAGTTATACAATTAACTTTTTATTTAAAAGGTAATAATATCGCTATGTTTGACTTTCATAATTTGAGGAATAAATTGATTCACCAGTGATATAAGATTTTGAGATTTACAAGAGATTGGTGGCACTTTTCAAACATGGATTGCTTATACAATTTACTCCATATAAGTTTAAATGAGATATGTGAAAAAAAAAAAAAAAGATCATTGTTTATGAATCATACTTGTATAAGTAAGCAAATAATTGTTCATGTGATTTGAGCTTTGAAGATTTGATGTTATATTTAGAAGGGTTATGCTA